AGAAAGTGTCTTCAGGTGGAGCTGACTTCCTCATCTTGTTGTTTTGTTTGTTTCAGACCCAGAGTGGCGCTGGATGGAAGCGGGTTCTGTGTTCACTCTGCCATTCCCGGACCCGAGTGCCACTACTTGCAACCCATCTACTTACTGATGGTTCATGTCCTCCTCATCCTGTGTTTCACAGTTCATCTATAAACTCCTCACTCGACTACAGGTCTCAGAACTTGTAATTCCTTCATCTCTAATGTCAGAATTGTAGTTTGTAGAACAGCCTTCCCACTTCCAACCCATCTGCATCTCCTTGGAAAGTTCCCATAACAACAGCGGCGGCTGTGAGGACAGGTTAGAACACAAGGCCTGGTGCATCCCTCCATAGGGGTCCTTGAAGCCATTCGGGAGCCAGAGCATCACAACCTCTAGCCGTGAGAACCCCTGAGCTACGGCATGCGGTGTGAGTTATTCTGTCTTCAATGCCATTGTCATCTGCCTCTGCGAACAGGGCTGAGGCAATGGGAAGAGAAGACAAAACACCTGATCCAGACATGAGAGTGTTGGTCACGAGTGACTGTCCTCCCCTTTCTCATTGTGGACACGATGTCTTCCCTTCTGTGCTCATCACCTGAAGAAGTGACCAGAGGGCTGTGAGCATCCTTCTAGCCTCAGCTGCTGGAGCCAAAGAAGACGAGGTGGGGGAAGAAAGCCATCCCGAGACTGAGTTAAAGGAGCAGAGTGCCACGGTGAAGTCCCAAAGCCTTGTGTATAGTTCTGAGAGAACACTGGAAAACGTTAGGTACTAGCCTGTAACTCCAGCACTCAGAAGGCTGAGACAGGAGATCGTAAGTTCGGGGTCAGTCTTGTCCGTATAGTAAGTTCAAGATAGCCTGCGCTACATAGCGGCACTCTGTCTCAGGAGAAAACAGCACAACAGCAAATCAGTCTCCTAGGACACGCAGTGCAGGGGTATCGTAGCTCATGAAGGTAGGGTGGGTATAATTACGCATTTGTATGAAGTTGCTGCTTGGGAAAAGCTGGCCAGCTATCTCAATGTACAAGTGGATTTCGAACTTGATCTCTTTGGTTTCAAAGCTATTCCTGCGTGCTACACTCCACTCAAGGGACGAATGTGGGGTATCTGTAAAGGGGAAATGAGTTTTCTCGGTCTCATCTCTGAAGTCCTATGGTTTCTCCAGAGAACTGCATTGCCATATGATGTGTTAGAATGTCTGCTCTAATATTCTGACATTGGATTAGCATTCTAAGTTAACTAAAAGATTTCCCCTTTCTACATTGTCTCTACTTTAAAACAGCTTTAACAGAACAAATGAAATGTCCCAAGTTCAGCGTCCATTTGGAAGGGACCTTAGGAGCTTTCTGTTCTCCCGCAGAAATACTCTGTTCTCCTGCAGAAATGCTCTCTTCAGTCCAAGACTGGTGAAACAAGTCTGGGGCCCTTTCTGGGTTCATTATCTCTAGGGCAATCAGGTCACAATTCCAAGAAGAGCCTGGGTCAGATTCAATATCAAAGTCTTAGGATGATCTTGGGAGTTTCTTTGAATCCTCTTTGTCACTGAGGGCCCCAGGCTGCCAGAGGAGTCCCCCGGGGGATTATTTGTAAAGCAGCCAACTGTAAAGGCCTCCAAACTCGCAGTGGCCTTCACCTCAGAAAGGGTTTATTTCATTGGCCCAAACAAGTCACCTGAGCAAGTCCAACTTGAAGATAGAAGGGAAGGGTCTCAGATCTTAACAGCAGGGAGTGTGTCAGAGTTCACAGCTCCTGCTTCTTGGAGGAATTCATCTGGAGTCAGACTTCTGTCAGTGAGCTCAGGCTCCACACAGTTTCCCAACAAGCTAGGACTTCCTCCTTCCTTTCTTAGGAGTTATGCTTTTGACATCAGTTCTGTGTGAGCCTCATTGTAAGTGCTACAGGTAATGAGGTGTTTTTCAGGCTTGCCCTTCAAGATTCACATACAGATCAATATCCCAGTAAGCCTCTCTTGATTACTCCAGCCCACATCAAATCTTGTTTTTGTTTTCCTCCCTCAGACCAGACCTCTACAACAGTGTCGTAGCCCAGGCTTCACCTGAGTACTGGGATCACAGATGTTTGCTACCACACCCTCCTCTGACTTGTTCTGAATTCTTTTACTATCTTAGATGCAACTGTCCTAAGTAGGACACAGAGCGGTCCTACAGCATTCCTGAACGTGTCTTAACTGTTTAGGGACGTGGGCTCGGATGTGGTCACTTTTATAACTATCCCATGACTTGCAAAAACTTTTCAAAATACTAGACACAGAAACACTTAACCCTTTTAAGTACCTAAAGCTTAAGGAACTGACTCAAACTTCAGGAAGTAGCTGTGAGGACAGTGTGGCAGGAAATGACAGAAAACCTGAAAACGGAACTGAGCCGCTGCTCAGTTTCTTGCCCTGAAGTGGCAGCAGCTGGTGGGGGCGCCGGGTGAGGATTTGAAGAGCCGGAGCTGGGAGCTCAAACAAACAGTAGTGAAGGTGGGTACTCAGAGCTCTGGGAGACTTGGGGGGCACAGGGTAGTGTGGAAGAGAAATCCACATAGCACTTAGTTTGCTAATTGGTGCTGAACTTGTGATGGCCATCAGGTCTGCGTACAGTGGTTGACCATGAGCATGGGAAGATAGGAACAAGGAAATGGCCTGCACTCAGGGACGTGATTGATCAGCCATCTAGGACCGCGGGCCCAGCCAAGTATGCCCTGGCTTCTATTGAGGATCTACACATCCCGCTCTAAGGGCCGGCTGGCCCCGGGCACTAAGCTAAAGGAGTCCCACAGAAGATGAGGACTGTTGTATGGTCTATGGGGGCACAAAATGCACATGGGGACATAAGGGAACAGGAATTAACCCACGTGAACACTGGTGCTGAGCCAAGTGCTTTGAGGGGACAATGCAGGCATGATTATTCAGCTGGGGTAACTCTGTGTTTGTGGGAATCCCAGGGTGTCAGAGACAGGCAGCTATGCTAAGCCCTTCATTATTTAACATTGGGGAACAAAATCACAGGAATCAGTGAGTTGTCAAAGTATTTAAGTTAGTATTTGTGAGGTGCTTGGTCTAGGATCTGGCTAAGAGGTACATACTCTGTGTTGTGTGACTGGCTGGGGTCCCACAGGGGCTGTCACATTACTGAGGTGTCTATGGACTGTTGTCATAAGTCAACACTGTCTTCAGGCACTGGATGTGCTGCCGTTCGCTATCTTCACCGGGTTATTCTCCAGCCTTCTGCTTCAAGTTAGCAACCTTATTGATGAGTCATCAACAGTGCAAGCATATTAAGTTATTTTGATTTTAAAAATGGGTATGTGAGATTGATGAGAGAGATGGGCTGAGGCCAGGGGGCAGGGGATAGGACAGAAGATGAGACCATCAGACTTCACTGCTTCCTTATTGCCCATGAATACAGTTGACTTCTCCTTTCCAGTTTCACTCTGTTGCAGAACAGCGCAAGAGCCAGGCCATGTCAAAGAGAGGCCATAGGATGTGGTTCACGGGTCATCTTTACCTGTGCTAACCCCTATCAGTAGCTATTGCTAAGTAAGGAAGGCAATGTTCTTAGCAGCTCAAGTGACCCTTGGCCTGGTTAGCTCACCACTTCCCTAGCTGCCCCTTAGCAGATCTTTAATTCACCTACCTCAGATTTCCCCAGGGATCATCTTCTGCGGTTGTTAGGAAACAGAGGCAAGGGTGGAGGTTTCCAGGTGCATCTCAGTGGAGACTTAGGGCCTAAATGGAGTCCTGCAGATAGGAACTGAAGAGTGTCTCCTTTGGGAAACAGTGGTGAACACCAGAATGGCCTCCTGGTGGTGGAAGTCCCTGAGAAAGAAGGGGGAGCAGGGACTTGCCAGCCAGTAGGTAAGAGCGGAGCCAGGAAATCCCAAAGACTACCAGAGCAGATGGGCACTGCCCCTTGTTACCTCGCCACACCACTGTTCAGAAGCCCACAGTGTGACTAGGCAGTTCCTCCTCACACTCCCTTGGCAAGGCTCAGGAAAACACTGGTATCCAGTAGAGGAATGATTGCTCCCCTGCCAAACTAGTTTTCTCCAAAGACCCCTGCGATGCTTGCTTACTTGGTTGGTAAATCCCACATGTGTTCCAAAAGGGGATCTGTTTCATGCGGTGTTTGAATATATGTATCTTTAAATACAGTTGAACAGTGTTTTCAATTGAGTGCTAAAACATAAAGCCTTGGTGTTTTCTCCCTTAGGAAACTGTGATTCCCATCAATGTTTCCCCTTGCATCAACTAGTGTGGGTCTTTCAGCCAACTGTCCTGACAGCTCTTCTGTGAGTGTGTCTTAGAGAGAACGTAGGACAGTATCCCATGGGCAGGTGAAACAATTTCAATGTAGCTAAGCAGATTACAGACAGGAGGCACCCTGGACTCATTTATGTTCTGACAACTAGAAAGGAAACCATGGAGAAATCTGAGGGAAATACCACCCCAATCCTGCAGAAGGTGTTGTCAAGTACTACAAGTTGTGGATGCAGTGAGTGGTCACGGCACGTTGACAGAGGTTGTTCAGGGTTGCCTACATCTGCACTGACTTCCCTCCAGATGTGGGTGGACTCAGACCACTCTAAAATCTTAAATAACTCCCACTCCCTTCTCTTCTAAGAACTCTCCCTAGAACTTCTATCTGCTTTGTTTCAGCTCTTGTTTCCTTCTAAGAATGGAGAGAAACATTGGATTGCTTGTGTAGTTAGTTGACTTCACCATTCTGACCATCCTTCCTCTTGATTCCTCTGTCAGTCATTCCTAATTATTTCCACTGTCTGTCGCCCTCAGATGTGGAAGTCTGTAGTGGGGCATGATGTGTCTGTTTCCGTGGAGACCCAAGGTGATGACTGGGATACAGACCCTGACTTTGTGGTGAGTAGGACAGAAACTTTGCTGGGACCATGGGGTGTGGGACACCTCAGCCACTCTGGCCTTTGAGAGGGATTAGGAAGGAATATCTGAGATTAGGATAGTCTTCGTGGTGAGACAGATCAGCAGAACCACTAGCTGACATTATTAGGAATGCATGATAACTGGTGTTGAACATAGAAGGGCCCAGGTGTGAGTGCATTTGGTAGTGAAATTGAGGGACTAGGTCACTCCATCCTGAAGTTGAAGATCAGTTGAACCTGGGACTCTTCTGGCCTATGGTCCTTGATTTGAGATGTCCCGAGAGATCTAAGGAGGAAAGAAAGGGTGGGTGATTCAGAGTAAGCTAAGAATCATTAGCTTAACTTTAATTCTCATGTGGGTTGAGCTAGGATAAATGCAGCTGGGAGTGAGAGTAGAGACTCTGACTGAAGCAGCATCTAATGCAGGGGACGGAGATGGGGAGGGTGAGCTGGAAGGCTCCTTGCAATCTAGCCCGTTTCTTGCTGATGACGTTGCCTGCTGTCCGTTTTAGAATGACATCTCCGAGAAGGAGCAGCGGTGGGGAGCCAAGACCATCGAGGGCTCTGGACAGACAGAGCACATCAAGTAGGTGCTGGGAGACTGGGAGGGAGGGGTGGTCCATGGAGAGCTGATGAAAAGCCTGCGGGCTCTGGGCAATGTGCAGCAAGAAAATAGCCATGTCTAGGAATCTTTCTGTTTATTTATTTGTTCTAGAATCAGTCTCTGTGTGTTTCTATATCTTCATGTGTATTTGTTTCATCTCTCTCATCTTATCATCTGTCTTATTATCTATCTTTATGTATGACAGCTCTATGAACCACCTCCTCCTAGAAGTTTGCTGTATTAGCTATCTCCCTTCTTCAATCAGACATGAGATAGTCAGAAAAGAGGCACAAATGCTGAAGTTTGATCTATCCATCTATCCATCTGTCCATCCATATCTATCTATCCATCTATCTCTATCTATTATCTATCTATCTATCTATCTATCTATCTATCTATCTATCTATCATCTATCATCTATCTATCTATATCTATCCATCCATCCATCTATCCATCTATCTATCTCTATCAATTATCTATAAAATGCCATTCACCTATCCCTTCACATAAATACAGAACATGTGTTTAGAGTGTAAGGTGACTGCCCATGGGTTAAGAAGACTTCAGTTAAGAAGATTTCAGTGCTGAGTGTGGTCTTACACATCTTTAATTCCAGCACTCAGGAGGCAGAGGCAGGATGATCTCTGGTCAGCCAGGACTATGTAATAAGACCCTGTCTCAAAAAGAGAAGGCATCAGTAAAATATCAAGGTTAAGGACTCCCCTGTAAATTCTATAGTGAAGATAATATCTGCTGTTATAGTTGAAGCAGTAACTTGAGATACAAATTTGCATTGGACTACACGATGGAAATTGGGAACCATTAGTGTTACTATAAAAACAAGACATTTGAAAAATCATGACTGATCCTATTTCAGCAATAATGTTTAGTCTTCAAGACAATGATTCAACTTTCTTTTTATCTGAAATAAATGTGGCAATGTAGCTCAAGTGGAAACAATTTTGCCTAGCATGCGTGAAGGCCCATGTTTGGTTCTAGCACTAAAGAAACTAGGCGTGATAGCTTATGCTTGTAATCCTAGCACCGAAGGGTGGAGGGAGGTGGCTGTGGGTGGAATGGTTTCTGCAGAAGGGTCAGAAGTTCAATGTCAAGGCTAGCCTAGGTTACACTGTGTGTTAGTGATTAATTCTGAGTTACCAATAATGCATTGGTATCCCATCAAGGAAAGAAATAAAAGCACTTCCCCTTGTTTAACCAAAAGAGTCTAGATTTGAATTCCCTACTTCATGCTCTGTCTGCCTTCCTTCCTCTGTTGGTCTGCTGTATGTGTCTCAGTCCCTTAGACTGGTTGAAGGCTGACTTGTGAATCTGTGTGTTCCTGTGTCTCTGTGTGTCTGTCTGTCTTGCAGATGATTGCCCTATGACTGTGTGTCTGGTTTCTGGATCTCCCTAACTAAAAGCTCTCTTCGATCTCAATTGAACTGCATAGAAAGCTTTATGTGGGGAAAGGAATGAGGAACACCTGGCAAAAATCTTTAACAGAGTTTAACATGGGATTAAGTCTCTGGCTCCAACTGACCCAGATCAACCAATATCCACAATGGTTACTTTCAACCTTTATGGCATTTTTCAGGAAGTTGCTTTCAACTTCTGTGTTTGCTGCTCTCAGCAAATGATGCACAGGCATTATCTGGGTCAGGGGCATAGAAGAGAACATGATTTAAGATTGCAACTGTGCATTAGTTTAGGTTGTAAGAATTGATCAGATGGCAAGTAAGTTTGGTTGTTACACTGTTCTCCTAGAGTCAGGTTTAACAGGCTCACAGTCTTAAGTGTTAAGTGATTTCAAGGCCTATTAACTTCGGCTGTGAGGGACAGCAAAAGTTTTAATCTCTTAGGATGTAGGAGATATTTTTAGAATATCGTATCACCACAATACATGAGGCTCTGTCTCAAAAAGAGAGAAGCAAATATGGGCATATCTAGGGTTTTCTGTGGACTATTGTCCTTGGCCCTTGAGAGACATACTTCTCTTCCACAGACTAGTCTAGACCAGCTCACTAGGACTATTGCATTGTAGTACCAGGCTGTCATATTTTAGTAGCAAAGTAAATGCAATGCTTTAAGAAAAAAAGCTGAAAAATAATGAATCAACGCCATTCCTAAATTTGGCAAGGTTAAGACGATTTTCAGCTCCATTCCCAACTCCTCCACCACACTCTAACAATATTTTGGCCTCATTTCCCCCTAGATTTTAAAGGTGTCAGTGATGGCCACATTGCAGCTGTCATAGTCTTAGGAAACTTAGCACACATTTGGGCAGATCTGGAATATTACTGAACACCATTCAGACATAAATGGTTTGACTTAAGTAGCTATATTAAATATTATTTTTTATATTTTATTTACTTTTATATGTAAGGGTCATTTGTCAGTATGTATGGCCCTGTACCACGTGTGGTTCTGGTGCTCATGGAGGCCAGAAGAGGATGTTGGATCCCCTGGAACTGGAGTTATAGATAGCTGTGAGCTGCCTTGTGGGTGCTGGAATTGGATCTATGTCCTCTGGAAGAGCAGCCAGTGCTCTTAACTGCTGAGCCATCTCTCCAGCCCTGACTGAATATTTAACAAATCAACCAAGTCTGGAAAGTACACAGTGTGACAAAGAAAAAGAATAGGAACAGGGCCTTTCCAGAAGCTTCTTTAATGCTCATTCCCCTGAAAGCTCACAGATTTAAGAAGGTTGAGGGAGGCTTTTCCTTTTCTGAGTGAAGGCCCCCCGTCCTGGTACTCTGGGACCTACTGAGATGAGGAAACTGTATCCCTCTGTTTTCCTCTCCTGGAGCCTGCTTCTTGTGCTTTCAGTAGGAGCAGAGCCTTTTAACTTCTAGAGTCCTGCCAACGGCCCATGAGAAGAGCTTGCATTTGGAAGGTTTTGATTCAGTTCACAGCTCTGTCATGACTAGCAGTATGAATTTAGTTAGCTCGTTTTATTAATTCACGGGGATGATAGCAGCTACCCGAAGGTTCATGTTGAGAGTTCATTGAGTCGTCTACCTGAGCGTCTGCTGGCACTTAGCACTTCTTAGCATGTTGGTGATATTATCTCTATGCACTTTTAATAGAGATTTATCAGAATCCCAGCCCCCAAACTTAATACGACTATGCCACAGCCAAGACTTCCTTCTCCCTAAATGGCTGCCTGGCATAGCACTGTACACATAGCTCTGACTTGGGTCCCTGAGACCGTACACTGTGGTGACTCCAGATATCCAACTAACTGGATCCATAGCCACTGGAATAAATGGAGATATGTCCCCATAGCCTTATTTGTGTGCATTTGTTAAAGCCTTCACGGTACAGAAGCTTGGATCCCCTGTGGGATCAGGCTAGGTAACCTTGGGCAAACTTTTTATCCTCTCTGTCTTCATACCCAGATCAAATGGTCCTCCAGGGAACACTCCAATGTGAAGCCTCTAACTTTCTTTGGACAGGGCCCACTGAGCCACCCTCCGTGGTCAAGTGGGAATCACCAAGACACTGGGAGTGGAGGGGAAGCTGGAGTGGAGAGGGCTCGCCAGACTGAGCTGACTCAAAACAGGAACAGGAAGTGACTGTGGTTCTTAGTAGGCAGACTGCCTACCCCCCTCACCACTCGTATCTTTCAGGTTAGCCTTGAATTAATTTAGTCTGGGGGTGGCTTTCTAATTCATAGATCAGCTTAAGTGATTTTTCCATCCCTCATCAGCTATGTAGAGAAATGGCCCAGTGGTAAAGGACTATCCCCCCATCCCTATGCTTGCCTGCTCCTCTGCCTGCTGTCTTACCCCTTGACTAGTAAAGCATCCTTATCACCCTCAGACAGTGATTCTTAAACTCACTGCGGGAGAAGACCGAGGGTTTTGTCTTCTGTGTGTCTATTATCAAATTTGTAACATATTGGCGCTTTTGTAAAATAAAACATAACTGAAAAGCAATGACATCAAAGATGTAAGCACAGTTTTTACTTTTAGATTCAACAGATATGAGATCACCATGCAAAACTCTTGCTTGTGTTTCTAAAATCAAACTTTTGATTTTTATCTTCTTTCGCTGTAAAAAGAAACAGGTCAGCTCCCAGAATGCACTGTAAACAAGTCAGCTCCCAGAATGTACTATGAACAGTACTGTGGGCAGCACTGCACTGGACAAGGCCTTCGGTGCTTCCTGAAGCCTTTGGGTTAGGTCTCACTGAGAAGTAGCTAGAGGTACCCATCTCAGTGGCTTACCTGATTTCTGGGTCCTACCATTCTACACTGAGTAGAAATGAAGAATGACACAGTACCTCAAAGTAGAACCCTGGAGGTTCAGGGACGGCAACCAGCTCGGCTCTGCCAGCACTCGGGGCATTAACCATATGACTGGAGTTGATAGTACCAGCCTCCTTACCTCACAGGGCTCCTGGGAAGAAAACCGCAGCTATGGATAAGAATAAAGGGCAACATGAACTGAGCTGAGACCCATCATGCAGACATGCCTGTCTTTAATAGATGATGATGTCATTCTCATAGCACAGAGAAGTAAGGTATTCATTCTTGATCGTCACAATTTGTCTAAGGATGTAGACATATTATATATATACACTTTGAATTCAGCTCAGCCTGAGTCTATGGGCTTTAGTCCCTACGTCATATCATTTATAATAGACCTAGTTTGTCATGCCCACGATTCTCTTTTTAAAATGGAATGTGACCTCCCACGACCACTACCCCTTTCCCTAAGGCTGCTGTTCTGTTTAAAGCAGCCGAGTACATTATAGTCTGAAACAAGTCTCCTCTGCCCACCAGCCAGCTTCAAAACGACAACACAGAGACTTCTTGTTAATTATAAAATCTTAGCCTTAGCTTAGGCTGGCTTCTAACTAACTCGTATAACTTAAATTAGCCCGTTTCTATTCATCTCCACGCTGTCGCACGGTTCATGGCTTTGCCTCTCTTCCTGCAAAGCCAGGAACACATTGGCCTCGTCTACATTGGCAGTTGGTGACTCCCTCTTCTTCCCAGAGCTTTCTCTGTCGTGAATATCTGTCTATACCTCCTGCCTAGCTGTTGGTTGCTTAGCTTTTTATTAAACAATCACAGTGACATATCTTTACCCAGTATAATCAACTATCTCACAAAAACAGTCTGGCCTTCCTGACATGCCATGCCCACCGCATAAGCATCGGCCTATTTAGGAGGACATAAAAGCTATCATTCAACTAATTATTTTCTTATTTAAAAAGAAGTCATTGTTATCAATGTGTAATAATTATAAACAAATGGTTCGATGAATTTTGATAATACTACAAGTAACCACCAGTACGGTCAGAACATAGAAGATTTCAGTTACCACTGGAACTTGTCCGTGTCTCCGTAGTCAGTGTCTCCTTGGCCAGTACACACATAAACACTGACCTGTATCTTGTAGGGTGGTTAGCCTGGTGTCTCTAGAGCTTCAGTAAATGGATAACAAAGACTATACTCTTTTGTATTGGTCTTCTTTTACTTATAATGTTTTTGGAATCTAGCTAGAGCGTTGTATATATCGGTCTTTTATTTCTTGTTGTAAAATAGTGTCTGCTGTGTACCTACATTACAGTTTTGTTTATTCATTGCTCTGTTGTTGAACTTCTGTTACAAACATATTATGAGCATTTGAACACAAATCTCTTTGTTGACATATATTTTTATATTTCCCAGGGCATTCTTAAAAATCTAATTGCTTATTCATATAGTCAGTGTGTGTTTACCTTTTGAGAAACTGCCAATCTGTTTTCCAAAAGGAATTTACCATAGTTTATTTCCACCAGAAATGTATTTGTTTCACATGGTCCATGTCATTTGAAAGCTTGAAGCGGAGACAGCGTGTCAAAAGCCCCTTAGATGTGACACTGGGCACCCTGGCTGTAACAAGTTGCTTTTCTGTGTCTCTTCTATCTGCCCACTGTTACCATACATGAGATGTTTTGTGTTCTTAGAGCCTGGCAATGCTTTATACTCAGAGTTGTTTAACTGATATTTACCAAATAAAATGATTATATATTAAGACCCACTCAGATAGATTCAGCTATATGGTAAAGAAATTTATAAAAAAGTTTGATTTTCAGTTGGATGTGGTTACAGATGCCTGTAATCCTAACAGTCGGAAATGGTGGGAAGGTAAGGATTCAAGGGCATTCTTGGTTATATTGGGAGTAGAGGCTAGCCTGGACTACCTGAGACTTTCTCACAAACAAAAATGAGACACAAAACAAAAAAACAATTTTGTATTTTTTTTTTGTTGTTGTTGTTCAAAACATTTTCATTCAAATAAGGTCATCTGTTGGTACATTTCCCTAAGGAGTCTGCCATTCAGTAGGCGGATTTGCATATTTTCTCAATTGCAAACAATGTTTGTCCCCAGCCCTCCATTTCTCCCTTGAAAACCTCAGCTGGGAGCCTCTTGAAGCCCAGTCCTTTCAGATCCAGGCAGCTCTGAGGCCTTTGCAGGCTCATTGGATCTCTGCTTTCACTGCTGCCAAAGAGGTCAGGTGAGGCATGGGAACACCGGGTGCCTGCAGCCGCAGGCGGATTGATTTCATCTGGTTCCTAGCCAGCTCTCTAAAATAAACCGTGGCTAACGCTGAAAGGCTTTTACAAAGGCTTCAGCGAGATTATCCCGCTAGACCAGCAGATGGGTCTAATCTTCCACGGAAGGAGAACATCTCCACTGTGAGACGGTCACTCTGCCTGAAACCGGTCTCTGCTGGGTCTGAGCTGTGGAGTCCCCGGACACCCAGATATTTCTATATGGTCCAGGGTCCCTGCATATTTTCCAAATCTGTGAGCTCTTGCAGTGATTTGTTGGCATAGTGCTGATCGATCAGCTCAGATCTTCAGACTAAACAGACTGTGGCTTCCTCCCTCTTCGGGGTTGCAGCCTCCATGGTAGTAGAAAAGAGCGTGGACTTAGTCGAGAAGTGAGTGCTCTTGTCCCCCCTCCCCCGCCAGTGTCATTGTCAGAGGTGGAGTCCCAGTCCTAAACTATGGGACCTTTAACTGTTCTAAGAGAGTTTGTTATTCTCAGAAATTATCAGGCTTAGGTTGCAGAATGGTAATGCTTGACAAAAAAGACACTAATAAAAGTACACTAATACTAATGAATAAATAAACTTACTCAAATCTACATTTTTATAAGCATCAGTTTTAATGACTTCCATTATGTTATTTGAAAGATAGCATTTCTATTTTCTTAGCTATTTCCCAATTACTAGGTATACGGATTAGTTATTTTTGCTACTGTCTGTAATGTTTCAATCACTAGACCTTAAGCTTTGCCATATTTAAAAGTGTTTTTCTGGGGTAGACTCTTAGAACTAAAGGCATTTGCATATCTTTATGTTTCTTGAGACAGATCACCTAAGTGATTGAAGGCAGGTCTTTTCAGAGAGAGTGATAAGTTCTCAGTTGTGTTATGCCCAAATCTGCAAAGTCTCCCCAACAGTCAACAAGGAGATCAAGTCCCGTATGTAAAAGCAAAGAGCCTTTATTTTATGCAAGCTTGCAAACTCAGTCTCCCTGCTTGTCCAATGTACTGGAATAAACGGAGAGCCCCCAGCTCTGAATTAGGCTGAATTAGCACCTCTTTTCAGGAACCCTCCAAATTCCAAAGGAAGGAGCAAAACAACACCCTGACCTTTTGTTAGCGTAGTGATGGCCTGTCTGGAAGGTCACGTGACTACTTCAGGTACAAACTATGGTTTGAGAGCCTGGCTGCCATATCATATAAAAATATGGGCATACAGTTCAGGACCCCTGATTGCCTGACATTTGTCTAGGGGTGTCCTGGCGAGTGTGTGCTGGCAGGTGATTCTATCTACAGCAGTTGGAATATTAGGCATTTCCTTTGGATGGTCTATTTTGGGGTGGTGCTCGGGTAATCTCAGTTCTTGACCCTTCCTGCAGCCAGGTATTGCTTCAGGGTAAACCACTGAGGCTCAGGCCTCTTATTAAACTTATGGATGGTTGAGTACTACTCTTGACAGGTGATAATGGTTGGAAGTAAAGAACTTCCTCTGAGTGATATGTTCATATTTAGCTTATCATGGCTGGCTCCTACAGTAAGTATATTGGTATCATCTGTTTACATGAGAACATGAAAAATGGGACTAAAGATGACAAGGTTATGTTAGTGAGAAAGATAAGAGATCACAGGATCTTGGCTTCTAGAGTGTTTAAATGTTGGTTGTACCAACTTCTTACTCCAAACCTGTCACTGCTACATTTGGGGGTCTCAAGAGTTTTGCTATAAAAGATTTCCACTTTTCTGGGAAAGGGACTGTTGACCTCCCTGTACGAGGTGAGCCTCAAGTGTGTGGTTACTTGCAGCATCCACCAGCTGAGGAACAAAGTGTCCGAGGAACATGACATTCTCAAGAAGAAGGAATTGGAGTCGGGGCCTAAAGCATCCCATGGCTATGGAGGCCGGTTTGGAGTGGAAAGGGACCGGATGGACAAGGTGAGGAGAAAAGAAGAGGTCTGTTTTAGAGAAAAATTGATGAAAAGCAAAGTACTATCTTATTGGGGCTTTGATTAAAAATTTGTTCCAAATATGATGTCCATTTGGGCTTTAAAGGAGAATGATCTATGTGCTGTTAGTATCTTTTTCTCCCCCCATCTCAACACACAAAATACAGAAGGCAGAAAGAGAGTCAAGACATTAGAGCAGCTGCCTGCTGCAGCTCCAGGTAATACTGTGACCCTGGGTGAGGGATAGTTTTAATTGACAACTTGACACCATCTGGAACCAGCTGAGAAAAGAGCAGCAATGAAGGACGGTCTAGGTCAGACTGACCTGTGGGCATGTCTGTTGGGGGTTGTCTTAATTACGTTAATTGATGTGAGAAGCCCACTGTGTGCAGCACCAACCTCTGGGCTTGGGTCCTGTGTTATATAAGAGTAGAAACAGCGAGTTAATCAGCAATTCTACATGCATTTATTCTCTCTGCTTTTGAGTGTGAATGTGACTGTTTCCTTTAAGTTCCTGCCTTGACCTGGAATTGTAGCCAAATACAACCTTTCTCCTTTAAAGTTTCTTTTGGAAGCTATTGTAATCACAGAAACGAAACGAAACTATGCCATACTCAGACTAAGGAAGCAGGGAACATTAGTGGAGGAGGGAAAATAAGCTATAGACTTATTTGTTGCTTTTAAATGCTGTGTATTCTGTCTGTATTGCAACTTCTCTTATTTTCTTTTCTCAACCTGTGGGTTACAACACTTTGGGGTCCACAAATCAGATATCCTGCATACCAGATATCTACATTATGATTCATAACAGTAACAAAATTTCAGTTATGAAGTACCAATGAAATAATCTCATGGTTAAGATCACCACAGCACAAGGAACTGTATTAAAGGGTCACAGCATTAGGAAGGTTGAGAACCACTGCCTTAGTGTATTATGTGATTATGTGTGTATGTGTGTTGTATGCATATATTGTATGTGGTGTATGCGTGCATGCAGGTTGTGCGGGTGGTGAGTGTACTTGTATGTGCACAAGCAAGATGTCAAATGTCTTCCTCTGCAGCTCTCTGCCTTAGTGCCTTGGGGCAGGATTTCCCACTGAGTGTGAAGCTCACCCAGGCTGCCTGGGAAGGGAGCTCCCAAAATTCACCTGTCTCTACCTTCTCATGCTGGGGTTATAGGTACATGTAGCCATGCCTCACTGTTTTTGTGGGTGCCAGAGATTTGATTTTAAGTCTTCATGTTTGAAGAACAAGGACTCTTATACACACCGAGCCACTCCTCAGACCTTTAGCAATCTTTTGTTTTGTTTTGTTTCTGGGACAGGGTTTCTCTGTAGCTTTGGAACTGGTCCTGGAACTCACTTGGTAGACCAGGCTGGCCTTGACCTCACAGAGATCCACCCGCCTTTGCCTCCCAAGAGCTGGGATTAAAGGTGTGCACCTTTAATCTTTTATATGTACATTGAAAACTTCAGAATTCACTTCTGAACTTTGGTTGTTCAAATGATTAAAGATCTAGGACAGAGATACCTGGTTGCTGGAGCAGAGACGTCATCAACCTCGGTCAGGGCATCTAGTCAGTGCCTCTAGATGCACCCAAGCTTTGCTCCTCTGTTTCGCTCTGCAGTGCCCCTGTTTGAGCTCTCCTCTCCCGTCTTTTGGGTTCAACACTGCTCTGGCTATGTATTCTCTATCTTCTGACTTCCAGTACATTCCTGGAGGCATCTGAGCAATGGCTCTCTTGTGATGTGAAAAAGGATTCTAAGATGGGCACCCCTCTAGAGAAAGTTACTGCGGCCCCCATCATCGGTTCCTTGGCGCCCCTGTCAAAGGCTACAGATCTGACCCGGAAGGGAATTTCCTGTATCCTGACATCCATTTGCCATCTCGATTACTTAAGGTCATTGCGATTTTTTATGCACCATTCCTGATTTTCCTTAGAGTGCTGTGGGCCACGAATATGTCGCTGATGTGGAGAAACACTCTTCTCAGACTGATGCTGCCAGAGGCTTTGGGGGCAAATATGGAGTTGAAAGGGACCGGGCAGACAAGGTAAGTGACAACTTTCCTTCTCTGCCATAGCCCTTACGTTATGTGGGCCTCACCAACACTCAGTCCTAAATGCAGGTCCATGCTTCTTCAGGTGAAAGACAGGACAGCGGAGGCCACGAGTGTCCGGTACGGGCACTGAGTCCAGGACAGATCTCATGACCTGTCTCAGCAGGGCTGGTGGGGAGGCTGTGTGTGTAGCATCATCATCCATTTAAGTTCGTTAGGGCTGGGGTTACAGTGCAGTTCTGGCCTCGCCCAGGAGAGGCCCAGGGTTCATCAGCAAAGTCTCCTTTAGTCAGTTAATAGGCAAAGATTCTGAGTAAGAATGTCTCAAGGCATTAGCAGAGAAGAATTCCTCAAATCAGCAAGTGAGCCGGTTAATTCATTAGGACGGCAATGCTCTGAGAAGGGGAAGGATTGAGAAATGATCCCTGAAGCTGGGGTGTTGATGGAGACTCCTTTGTGTACAAGGGTAGCTTTAAAGAGAACAAAAGGCAGTTCTAAATGGGTGAGGCTCATTCCATGGAAGGAGCAATGCTGGCGATCCTTGGTGCTTTAAATTCCAATTTAGGATATCAGGAGCTGAATCCTTTCATGGCACAGGTTAGAGTCTCATCTGAAAGGGGGAGGGTGGAGGGAGAAGGAGAGGGGGAGGGAGAGAGGAATGGACTAGAGAATCTTCACATCTGGTTTATTATTATTATTATTATTATTATTATTATTATTATTATTACTAGTAGGTAGGCCTGAATCCAAGCTGCAAAGTGTTAGGATAATAATTGTTTGCACTGTAGGAGAAAATACACCCCAAACAAAACTGAGAAAGTTCAAAACATGCTGTAAAAGAAAAGAAGTACAGAAAACACATTAAAGACAATAATGTCACGTGGAGCATATGTGGTTCTAGAAACAAGGGAGGATGTCCTAGATCTTGGCTTTCCTTCTGGTGGTCTTTGCCCAACCCCTTATTGCTAGTTGTTATTTTACAAGCACAAATTGCATCACCTAAGCAGTTCACATGTCCATAAACCATGAATGAAAGACTAGAGGATGGGAAAGTAGCTCAGTTGGTAGCTGTTAGCCTAGGGTATGGGGACCACCCCTGTGCCTCATAAACTAGGTATGTTGGACATACTAGCTCCCAGGTAGAAGTAGAGGGTCAGAAATGCGTTGCCTGCTAGCCCCCCTCCCACAAGTCGATTTGTCCATCAAGAGTTACAGGAGAAGTGTGCCTGCCATGTCTACCACATGTAAGATTTATTGCAGCAGAGATAGCATGGGACACACTAAGTCAGAGCCCCTGCATGATGAATAGGTGTGTGTCTAGAGGGGGAACGTGATCGGCTTGATGTGCAGGGAGCCTGGGTTTATTTACTTCTCAACTGGGTGTGGAGCAAAGCTGGCTCCACTTCTGCTGGACTTGGTCTCGGCAGGATGCATTTAGCTGGTTGTGTCTTATTAAATGACAGCACGGCACTGACTAGGTGTGACACTCTTGGGGACCTTTGAAACTGCAGACAATAAACCCCACAGGATTCCACAAGGCCTCGTTTTTAGCAACCCACAGTGCAGTTAGCCTCCTGGCATGGAGTTTGCCCAGCCAAACCTGCCTGGTGGGTTATCTGTGGCCCACAGTGGGGTAAGGAGCAAGTCAGCCTACTGGCTGGGAGTTAGACCCGTGGCCTGTCAGAGAGGAAAAGCCTCAGGAATAGGGGGATTTCTTCTGGGCGAGAGTCCTGGAGTCAACTGCCTTGGATCTAAAGTGGAGGCACCCAGGCATTAGCCTGATCGCTCCCTCGGTCTCTGGTTATCTAAGAATTAACTACCTTCTGTCTTCCACATGTCCAAAGTCATCCTTGCCTACAGAGGGAGTTTGAGGCCAGCCTCAGGTATAGGAGACCCCGAGAAAGAGGGAGGGAGGGAAAGGAAGAGGGGAGCAGGGAAACCAAGAGACTAGTTCTTAAGATACAAAACCAAGCTTTGCTTAGAAACCTGTAGCTACTGCGCAGATGGGGACACAGCTCCCAGGATGGCTTAGGTCTTGGGACCAACTTCGATCCCATCCCACCAAAATCTGTGCCTTGCATCCCTGTGAGGCCATGCTGAGATCAACACAGTTCAGTGGGAGTGAGGTGACTAGCTCATAGGCGCCCAGAGGCACACATAGCTTTTAGTTTGCAGGGTCTTTGCTACCTATTGCCTCATCTTAGTTTGTGAGGCTCACATGGGGGGTAAATGCTGATTCCTTGCTAACTCAGCAGATACTATACCTTGCTCTCTGGAGCTGTCATATTATTCCAAATGAAGAGAGAGCATTTTTCTCAATTTTGCCACTGTAGTGGGTAAGACACATTTAATATCATTTAAAGAGACCAGTGCTCAGTGGTGTTGAATAATCCCAAAGCTAACCAATTATAAATGAGGGAAGTGGGATTTGGATCTGGAGTGGTCTGGTCCAGAGGCCATGATGACTGCTTTGTAGCATTGTTCCTACTTTCAACTTCCAAACTTAGCCACGGGTCCCCAACACTGCCTCTGGGACTGTGTAACACCCGATTCTGTGTTACACCCTCGGTACAGTTCACGCACCACTGTACCTTGCGAGTTGGGCAAGGGCCTGGAGATTGAAAGAACACACAAAGAGACCTGGGTCATTCGAAAGGAGATCAGCCGAATGCCGTTTATTCAAACTTGGGGAAATCCTTATGTACCTAACTGCTGCACAAGGATTTCTGCCCAGGCAGGTGGGAAATTACCATACCAACAGTGGAGTCAATGCCCTACAGCTAATCACCAGGCGGGGGCAGAGGGAGCACAGAAACAAAAAGAATGCTTTAATTAGCTGACCAGAAACTGTCCTCGAGATGAACCCCAGGAACAAGGGTAGACCAAGGCCCTAGAGGACTGCAGTGAAGGCAAGGGTACGAAGCAGACAGCGGTGACCAATCATTTCTCTTCCTCAGTCAGCAGTGGGCTTTGATTACAAAGGAGAAGTGGAGAAGCACGCATCTCAGAAAGGTGAGTACCCAGTGCCTTGGCCACCTGGAGGGTCGCTCCCCTGCTCGCAGCTCCCTTCCAGCAGCTTATCATGGCTCCCTCCAGCCCCCCGCTGGTTTGGCCATGGCAAACTATATTTTCATCATATTCTTCCCCCCTCCCAATTCTACTCAGATCCTTCCTGCTCACCCAACTTCATGCCCTCTCTCTTGAAACAAACAATACAAAACCAAACATACACAAAACCATGGGATCCAACTTGTGTTGGCTCTAGAACATGGGGCCTGCCATGTGTCTAGTAAACTGAAACTATGTATTTTTATTTCTTAAATTGAGGAAATTTTCCATATCATTTTATTGATATTGGCTTTTAATTTTATTGCGATCAAAAAATGATTTCCAGTATTTCCGTCTTGCACATGACCTCTGTGCATTAGGATCAAAGAGTTGATTATGTAGTTTGGGACAGAGTGTTTTAAGTCATTTAGCCAACTAGGTCTTAGTGACAAAGTTGTATGCGCGCGTTTTCCAGCGGGCTGAGGCCAGGCTCTCAGGCCTCCCCTGTCTATCACAGATTACTCTCATGGCTTTGGTGGCCGCTATGGAGTAGAGAAGGATAAACGGGACAAAGCAGCTCTAGGATATGACTACAAGGGAGAGACGGAGAAGCACGAGTCTCAGCGAGGTAAGTAGGGTGGACTGGGAGGAGCGAGGTCCCAGAATAAGGAGAGGGACGAGGAGAGTCAACACGGATGGAAAGGACAGCAGAATTGGAAGCAGGGCAGAGAACGGGGCAAGGAGGAAAGGGATTGAGGAAGGAGTAGAGCCAGGCAGGGTAATGGGCGGCTTGGTGTGAGTATCACAGGCCAGTCAGCCTTAGTGGGGACAGAGAGCTCTTCCCTGGGACTCAGCAGCCATGGTAGGAGGGCTCGCCTTGTTTTCCTGTTAATTTCCGTGTATTTTGCCTTAGTTGTCACTTCTTTTTTTTTCGTTATTTTTATTATTATTATTATTACAAATTTTCACCTCCTCCCCTCCTCCCATTTCCCTCCCCCTCCCCCCACACCCCCTCCCTCTCTTTCTCCAGTCCAAAGAGCTCCTAGACCTGGATGGAGGGGGGAGGACCTTGGACTTCCCACAGGGCAGGGAACCCTGACTGCTCTTTGGGCTAGTAGTCACTTCTATTGTGTTTCCTTTTTCCATCTCTCTCTTCTTTCTCTCCCGAGTCCCCTACCTCCATCCTCAACCCTTTTCCTTTTCTTCCTGGCATCCCTGTCTCTCTCTGACATTTCTTCCTCTTTCTCTGCCTTCCACATTCCTGTCTCCCTGTCCGTCTGCTCCCTCTCCCTACCCATTCCCAACATTCTAATCTCCAATTTTCACTCTCAGAATTTTTTTTCCCACAGACTATGCCAAGGGCTTTGGTGGCCAATATGGAATCCAGAAGGACCGAGTGGATAAGGTAAACAGAGGATGCCAAGGTCTCGGGAGTGTCTCTGTGGTAAAGGAGCTGCACGGAGGATAGCAAGAGAAAGGAGGAGCCAGAAGACAGATGGAACTCTTGGAGCTGGGTCACGAAGGAGCATGAATTCTATAACCTGAGGTTTATCTGAGAAGAGTGGAGGGGGCAGAGAGTTAGCGTGGAAAGGGAGACACTAGGGAGATTGGACATGACATTTCAGGCATTTCTTAGTCCTGTCTGGTCTCTTCCTGCTCTGTGTTACCATACTGTATGTTCAGTGACTCCTCTTCCTGTGTGAGCAAGGGCCTTGCTCCATTCTGGGTATAACTGGGCTCAGAAACTTGCAATTCTAAGTCCATTGAACTTTCAAAGGGGGAGCTGAGCCCACCAGTAGAGTTCTTTATCCTTCTCTCTCCCACCAGATAATATTGCAGACCCAGTCCAACTGTTACCTACCACATGGCTACAGATGCCTCCCAGGGTGGCTCTTTCCCCCAGTTCTGGCTCATGGATCACTACCCTTCTGCTTCCCCTGA